GTGGTTCATTAGATTCATTAATATCTTTAGAAGATATTTCATCCCGTGTTCCACTTGAGCTTGGGATATTTCCAAGGTTTTCCTTTAATTCGTTATTCGAGGTTAACGAATCTTAAAAGAACTCTACATCACTTGATTCAATAATCACATTGGTCTCCATATTTAACAATCTATAAGATTTGCTATTGTTAGCATATCCAATAAAAGCACATTTAATGCCTCTTGGACCTAATTTGTTTCTATTAGGGTTCGTGTTCTTGCAATAAGCAAGACACCCCCACACTTTGAAGTATCCAATATTTGGTTTTCTTCCTTTCCATAATTGATAAGGAGAAACCTTAGTATATTTTGAAGGAATTCTATTAAGTATTCTACATGCACTTAATGAAGCTTCACCCCATAAGGTAAAAGGTAATTTAGCAAATATAAGCATAGCATTAATCATTTCTACTAGTGTTCTATTCTTTCTTTCAGCCAAACCATTTTGTTCGGGAGTCCTTGGTGCAGAACATTGATGAATTATGCCATGTTGTTCACGAAATAAATTTAAATCACTAAAAAAGTATTCACCACCTCTATCACTCCTTAAGATTTTTATTTTCTTTCCTAGATGATTTTCAACTTCATTCTTATAAATCTTAAACATGTTAAATGCTTCATGTTTATGTTTCATTAAATACACATATGTATATCTAGAAAAGTCATCGATAAAGGTAATAAAATACCTATTTCCACCTCTAGTTAACATGCCGTTTAATTCACATATATCCGTATGAATTAATTCCAAAATACTAGAGGTTCTTTTTACACTTTGATACGGTTTTTTAATCATCTTAGATTCTACACAAGTTTTGCATCTATATTCTTTATTTTCATCATATGAAATTAAGTCACACTTTTTCATTTGTTTCATGGTACTTTTACCAATATGTCCTAACCTAGCATGCCATAATGAAAATAAATCCACAACATAAGCAAGATCAACTTTATTTATTTTATTGTCAACAGTACAAAGTTTGACCATTCCTTCACAAGAATAGCCTTTTCCAACAAAATTCCCTTTAAGGGATAATACAAGTTTACCGGATTCATACACACTTTTGATACCCGATTTTCCTAAGAGATTTCCACTAACTAAGTTTCGATTCATATCCGGAACATGTAATACTTTAGTGAGGGTAACGTTTTTCCCGGAAGTGAAGATTAAATCTACATTTCCTTTACCAATGACTTTGGATCGAACTTCGTTACCCATTTGAATCTCTTGGTCTCCATCCATTTCATGATATGTCTTGAATAAAGATTTATCATATGATACATGCACCGTAGCACAAGTATCATACCACCACCGGGGAACCTTTCCCTTAATTGCATTTATCTCGCTCACGGTGGCCACAATCTTTTCTTCTTGAATGGAGTTGATTTTTCCTTCGGAGTTGTTTCTTTTCCGGTGTCTACAGTCTTTTGCATAGTGACCAGACTTTCCACACACAAAGCAACCTCCTTTGTTCTTCTTCTTGAACTTGTTAAAGTTTCTTGAAGGCTTCCTTTTGTTGGTTTTTCTAGGTGGTTCAGATTTCTCTATGGCATTCGCTTTAGAAGTTCCTTCCGAAGAGTTTTCACCTCTATCGCGTAATCTAGATTCTTCTTCAATCCTTAGGTGCCTTTGCAATTGTTCCAAAGAGTAATCTTCGGAACTATGCATAATTTTCTTCCGGTATCCTTTCCAAGTTCCCAGGAGTTTTGCTATTATAGCTCCCACTTGAAAAGTCTCCGGGATTTCAATCTTTACCGCCTTTAATTTGTTGACAAGGACTTGCAACTCATGTATTTGGGGAAGTAGGGGAATATTTTTCAAAAACTTAAAATCAAAATATTTTGAAATTATAAATTTCTTTGTACCTTCTTCCTTTGCTTTGTATTTGCTTTCTAAAGCATTCCATATCTCCTTTGCCGAAGAAGTGTTGGTGTACAAATCATATAAACGATCTGAAAGAGCATTGAGTATGTGACCCCGACATATGAGTTCATCTTCTTGTCGTTTTTGCCTTTCTGCTCTAACTGCTTCGGTTTCTCCATTGGCGGGTTCCGGTAATGGCGTCAATTCTGGGTCTAAGATATAGAAGATCTTCAATGCGGTGAGAAGAAACTTCAGTTTGTCTTGCCACCTTGTGAAATTTGTGCCATCGAACCGATCCAATCGAACCAAATCTTGATTCATCAATTTGATGGTCGCCATCGTAGTTTCGTTTTCCATCACGCAAAAATTTCGTTTGAGATTGTTGGAAATAATGTTACTCCACCAAAGATGAGAACGAATTACAAATAGAAAAATTATCGAAAGAAGTATAGGGGATGAACAAATGGCAAATGATATATGAAGAACTTTGAAGGCTCAAACACAATCTTTGATTGTTGTCCTCAAACGAATTTTGCCCCCACTATTTTGGTGTTTAAAGGGTGATCCGGCAAAAGGTTTGAAGGATTAATCAAGCCTTATGGAGATTCAAACACTAAACACTTGTTTGAATCTCTAAAACTTAAGAACACAAAGAAAAGATGAATATGAGAGGGTATTTTATGTTTTGGATTTGATCTCAAGAAGGATCAATATAATAAGTATTTTTTCAACATTTTTCAATGACCCAAGATCACCTATTTATAGCCAAGTAGTATAGCTTTACGAAGTGGTGCACCTTATGGATGAAAAGCCACCAAAAAATCAACAAAAAATGACCCAACGATCGTTTTTCTGTACCATGCGACCGCATGGTACAAACCCATGCGGTCGCATGGTACAATCCTACCGAGACCATATGGTCTCGGTAGGATTGTACCATGCGACCGCATGGTACAAACCCATGCGGTCGCATGGTACAATCCTACCGAGACCATATGGTCTCGGTAGGGTTCTAAAGCCATGCGACCGTATGGCCTAATTTTTTTTTTTTTTAATTTTTATTGTTGGTTTTGAACAATTATACCACTTCATAACAGAAGTAGTCCGGTTTCGACGCTCGAAAGTAGCAGGTGTCGTAGTTCTACGAGCCAACGATCAACGGTTACTACTACGGCCAGGGCCATTCGATGAAGCCCCACCGTATCCGCATGGCCCATAATTTGATTGTTCATTACTCACTCTACCAGCGGATGGAGGTCACCCGCCCTTTCCCTGCTGGTCCTGAAGACAACCGGCGCTTTCACTCCCCTGAGTACGTTGATTTCCTCTCATCCGTCACCCCTGCGACCCTCAACGACCAAACCCATGCTCGGCACCTCAAGCAGTTCAATGTTGGCGAGGACTGTGTAAAATTTATCAACTCAGGTTACATTAAACCCAGCAACTATACGTGCAGAAACCCAGAAATAAAGGGCAAAAGTCTGATGAAGAAGAAGAAGAACTTTTACTGCTTAGAACTTAAACTTTGTGAGTTACATTCAACTATTTATAGACATACCAGCTGGATCAACTAATTGACAAACTAACTTTCTAACTGACTAACTAACAGAGCTAACTAATTAACTGAGTTAACTGAATTTTCAACTTCTTCTGCTGGTTTCCGGTTTGCTTCTGCTGTATTGTAAGAGCCCCCCTCAAGGCGGGCATGGATGTTCAAAATGCCCATCTTGGAGATATGGTTGTGAAACATGGTTGAGCCAAGGGGTTTAGTGAAAACATCTGCTAATTGGTAGTGAGAAGGAACATGGATGATCTTGATTAATCCAGAATGTAATTTTTCACCAACGAGATCGTAGTCAATTTGAATGTGTTTAGTCTTTTCATGATGGACAGGGTTTGTAGCAATTGAAAGAGTGGATTTACTATCTGTGTCTAAGAGTGCAGGTTGAGGATGAGTGATAGCCAAATCATGTAGAAGATAAAGTAACCATTGGAGTTCACAGGTTGTGGATGCCAAAGCTCTATACTTAGCTTCAGCTGAAGATATGCTAACAGTGATTTGCTTCTTAGATTTCCAGGAGACTAAGGATTCTCCAAGAAAAATGGCAATACCAGTAACACTTCGTCTAGTGTCAATACAGCCGGCCCAATCACTGTCACTGTAAGCTTTGAGGTGTAAATCAGATTTGGCAGGAAAGAATAAGCCTTGACCTGGTGTGGCTTTAATGTATCTAAGAACTCTGTGAGCAGCATTTAGATGAGATTGAGCCGGTTTGGACATGAATTGACTAAGAACTTGTACAGAGTAAGCCAGGTCAGGTCTTGTAATGGTGAGATATATTAATCTACCAATGAGCCTTCTATAGACTGATGGATTAAAGATGAGGTTTGCTTCTTCAGATTTGAGCTTGAGAGTAGATTCCATAGGAAATGCTACTGGTTTGCAACAAATGAAGCTAGAGTCTTCAAGGATGTCTAAGGCATATTTTCGTTGACAGAGGCTAATTCCGTGCTTTGATCTAACAACCTCCAAACCAAGAATGTATTTTAATTCACCAAGATCTTTGATTGTGAACTGATCATCCAAAAACTGTTTGAGGACCTGAATTTCATGAAGATTGTTGCTGGCAAGAAGGATATCATCAACATAAATCAAGAGGACAAGGAAAGAATTAGCGGTAGACTTCAGGAATAAAGACGAATCAGACTTTGACTGGAGAAAACCATATGAGATAAGGCTAGAAGTAAGTTTAGCAAACCATTGGCGAGATGCTTGTTTGAGGCCATATAGGCTTTTATTTAGTTTGCAGACAAGTGAGGGATCAGGACTGGGATAACCTTGAGGCAGTTCCATGTAGACTTTCTCCTATAAATCACCATGAAGGAAATCATTGTTAACATCTAATTGGTGTAAAAACCAATTGTTCACTGCTGCAATAGCCAATAGAACCCGAACAGAGGTCAATTTTGAAACAGGGGAGAAGGTGTCAAAAAAATCCAAGCCTTCTTGTTGAGTATATCCTTTAGCAACTAACCGTGCCTTGTATCTTTCCACAGTACCATTTGATTTGAATTTTATTTTGTAAACCCATTTGCAACCAATGGTGTGTTTATCAGGTGGCAGATGAGTGAGGGTCCAAGTATTATTCTTTTCAAGAGCTTGAATCTCACAATTCATGGCAACTTGCCAGTGTGGAAATCTGATAGCTTGGCTATAGTACTTTGGTTCAAAAACATTTGAAATAGATGTAACAAATGCCTTGTGTTTCGGTGAAAGTCTATTAGTAGAGATAAAATGAGAAAGAGAGAAAGGTTTACTGAAGTAGATGGACTAGCCAGCATTATAGAAGACAGGATTGCATGAGAAGAAGAAGGTAGATCACAATGATAGTCATTCAGATAGGTGGGTATATGCTTTGTTCTGCTAGATTTTCTGGGAGGAGGTTCAAGAAAAGGTAAATCATTATTTGGTGAAGAAATAGGGAAAACATGATTAGGCAATGGATCAATATTGACTTGG